GTCATTGTTGTGAGGTACTACTCATATTTGTGAGTACTGCACAAAAGGATGAGATTAGCGGTTTCTTTCAACGGTCAAAGTGAACAAGTGAATTGTTAGTTTCAGTATGGTAACTACAGGAATGCGCATCTCCTGTTGGTCCGTTCCATTGACTATCCTGTGTGCGCGTGTGATTTCTGAAGCCTCATTCCAAATGTATGTATATCAGTTTACGGATACCCTGACTGTTATTCATGATCAATAACTATCTTCGTCCCGGCACCGTATTATGGATTTATACCAACAGTACCGCTATATCCTTAAAGCCGGGTTGTCCTGCCGCATAAAAAAATATTTAGTGAATCGATTCTCTCGTCTCTTATTTTTTGACTTTCCGGCGCATATTTACCGGCACCCTCGATCCTCTTCCCTCTCTAGTATCTACCTCATTTGGGTCACAAGAAACGCGTTCATTTGATGAATGCTATGGTCCCCGGTCTGACGGGCGCAAAAATGTCCTCCTCCGAGGCGGACTCAAAAATCGATTTGCTTGACTCACGTGACTTGGTTCAGCGTAAACTCGCCCTGGCCGTCTGTCCTCCTGGTGTGACAGCCGAGCAGGGTAATGGACTTCTCGCTTTTCTCAAATACGTCGCGTTCCCGTTGGCTCTTAGTGAAGAACCCGGTAAGTTGTATTCCCATTCTCATTCGGAGCGGAGCAATAGATTGAGAATAAGTTGAGAATCCTTTTTTTCCGCAAGTTCATTCACATCTTGATGATAGAAATCCCCGACTTCACATCTGTTGTATTGATGTTCTGATACTGTGAGGCGCAAGGTGGGTGTGTCTTGGGTTGTGGCTGGTCGTTCTCCCCTTTCACCTCACAAAATGCTCCTATACGACCGAGCGTCTTAAAAAGCTTCTGTCGAGGAAGCCCTACTCACTGCCTTTACATGACTGAAGAGCTTTCTCCACCAAATTGGGAGAATGGAAGCCAGTATCTGGACCTATGGCTGGGTTGGTGAACCACTGGAGGGGTTGGATAAAATCCCGGATTCCCAACCAACCAACCATATATATATATATATATATATATATATTTGTATGTGCGGCGAAGACATACCAGTTTCACGACGAGCACAAGCATATGCGGTGATCAGAAAAAAATCACTCGCACTGATGCATAGATGTATCAAACAAAGACAATGGACTTCTCACGAGTCAATAATCCCGATAGACCAACATAGAAACCGGCGGCTTCTGCAGCGACTGCTCAGGAAAAGCCTTAAGAAAGATCGCGTAAACCGATGGGCGAAAATAAACATCGGAATGGAATGTGGCTTCTAC